TTCTTCACAGAGGTACATTGAAAATGAACCTGCTAGTCTAATATTGAACAATGTTACCCCTATATTGCATTGTTGGTGATATCCAGGACCTACACCGAGAGTATATGCTGTGACCTTAAGCCCATCCTCACAGTCAGTGGTCTCAGCAGGATATTTGTGGGATTGTCTTCTCAGTTGGAGCAATGGAACCTATAAGCTCCCTGACCTTTTTGAGATGTCAGCAAGGTGGTGGCATGTCTGGGTCCTTGGTCCCCTTGGATTCTGGTGTTAGCAGTTCTAGATAATCCATGTGTATATAATAGGTAATTCAACGTGGAGAGACTCACACAGAGAAAAGTTGCAATTAGAAAATATTTAATTTATTTATGCAGGTAACACAATTATATTCTTCAAAATATTTCTATCTAAGGAAAACCAGCTGATTGCAAGGACTCATTGACTCTCTGCAGTCCCTTGCACTGAGCATGCATGTAGCGACAGTGGAGAGGAAAACTTCCTTTTAACATGAAGAAACCTCCATTAGAACCAGGCTCAGAGTGAACGGCCATCTGCCGAGGCCGAATGGGGTTCAGGGAGACAGAAGCAGATGGAGACATTAACGAAATAAGTTATTTGGTGCACAGGCCCCGGCAAAAGACTTTGATGCTGTGAATCAACCTACGCTTAGATAAGTAACCTAGAAAAGGATCATAGTAGTCTTCCTTTGGAGCCCGGACACTGGTGATGAAATAAACCAGAGGATGAGTGGGACTGAGAATGAGGGAGGAGATGGGGGAAAATTCACTGGAGAGAGAAGCTGCGCCAGGAGCTAAATGAAGGGGATCTTGCAAGAAGGTTTCGGAGAAGGTGCGTCTCCCCTGAGCTGATTGGTGGGTGCTAAACGAGGGGCGTCCCAGGTGGTTCAGGTGTTTCATGTTAGCAGGGTGGGACATAAAACAATTGTGTTAAAGTAACTAAATATGATTAAGTAAATGCCAAAAGTTGTTGCAATATTTTTTTTAAGTGTATGCAGGTAAAAGTAGATTGATACCACCTGTCTTAAAAATTACCTGTCCAAATAAAAGTTAATAATATGAAATAGTATTGTAATATAAATAGTTCTGTTATGAAATTAGATTTTTACTACAGGAATCAAAATATAGTTGCTTTGGTAACACTTTACAATAGCCATCATTTTAAAAGGGTAAAAACACAATTTATTAATGATTAACAATTTTTTTTAATTCTAAATAACATTTATAAACTGTATCAAAACATGTTATAAAAGGTAAATACATCATATTGCACTGCCATGTTAGTTTATCCCAATCCGTAATATCAGTAGATTTAGGACGTGAGCCTAACCCCTAATTTTAATTCAACTTATGTTGTCATGTTATACTTTTCCTTACCCAAACAACAATGGGCTTAATACTATAATAAATTAATACATCTATTTACCTTTTATAAGTGGTTTAGATGCAGTTTTTATATGAACAAAATATTCATAAATAATCTTTTAATCATTAATAAATGATCTCCTTGCTATTTCTAAATTATGGTTTTCATGGTTATTGTAAAGTGTTAGCTTTGCTTTTAAATCAATACTAAAAATGTATATGACATCATACAAGTATTAATTTATTTTAAGTTTTTAAACAGAAAAATGATTACCGTAGATGTAATTGGTATATTTTGATAACAGCATCCCTGTCACACCAGTAGGCAGAATCTCAGGAAAGGAACAGAGACAGTTTAACCTACTAACATTTTTACACAGAGGAAGCAGGCATTATTCTCTACTTCCCCTCCTAGTTCTTGTTTGAGGTCTTGAAGGCTTTGAACATTAAAACTCTAAACAGTTCTGTTTTGTGAAAACAATATAGCGAAGCCTCAAGGGAAGTCGGTTCTTACTTGTATCTAAACAATAATGTCATCATCTTCAAACACCATCTGTGCCATTGTCTTTGAGTTTCTAGGAGCAAAGTACATACATATTCTGGAGATGCTGCGTTATGTTCACACCATGGACCAAATGAGTATTTCAAACTTCTATGACGCTTTGACCTAGTGGTTCATTATTTTTGTCCATGAGGGATGTTTTGGATTTATGTTTTTAAATGAAAGTAGCAGCTAGCAAACAATGCAATCACAGTTCTAAGGAAACTATACACCCTCCAGGCCTAAGGTGCAATTTGCTTTTCTGTGCAACTGAAACATGCCCACTAGCTTATGGCTTTAGGACAAGAATAATTTCAGTGAGTTTAAAATAGCTTCAGCTCTGTTATCAATCACTACACACACAATGGACACAATGACAGGGGAACACAAATTAAGCACGGACTAAAAGCATATCCATTGTTACTGATAGCATTTATTTGACATGTTTGTTTGACTCCCAGTAAAATAACTGCAAATAACAATAACACTTGGAGCAGCGTTTTGATTAACTTGTTCATTAATTTCAAGTTGTCCAAAGTGCACATTCAGCAATATAATAGTGGTTGCCCCAAATAAATATCCTGCTGTTGCTCATGGGCTTTAATCTGTTGCCTTCTCTAGAATGTGTATCATCAGTGTTTTTTTTAAACACTCAGTTTTTATAGGATTGTTCCATTCACTGAAATGTGCATTTACTTTTGTTGTGTTTAACATATAGAACATATAGACTGTGATCTATTTCCACCTCCAGTGTTGCACACTGCTGCTATGCTAAAAGGGATTGCTGGCATCCCTTAGCTGAAATTGCAGCTGTTAGAACCAGGGGTCTTTTAAATTGAGCAATTTGGGTGAAATATACCGCATAACAGGGAAAACATACAGTATTTATATTGTTATAAGCTAATGGAAAAAGTAACAAATGTTGTTGGTAGCAAGATGTTTTACGAAAATAAGGCCCTTGTGGATATTCTCTAGGGTTTTGAAGATAAAAAATGTACATAAATAGAAAGGAAATAATATATAGCAAGGGTTTTGATATTAAAATGGGACATCAAAGTGGTTTTGTAGACCAAAAAAAAAAAGTCAGCAACTAAACTGCTGGCTGTGGAGTTTGACTTCTACCCTGAGAAGCTCTTTTCCATTGTGGGAAATGATATTCACTCTAAGTAACAAAAACAAAAGGAATGTAAACTTAAAAAGGAACGTGTTCAGCATTTTTTCTTTTAAAATTAGCAACTTTTGTTATGCTTTGCAAGTATGTCACAATTGACAGAAATGCTCACTAATCTTTAAACTATTCATTAAATCCACCTTGTTTGTACAACAGCTGCTAGGTCCAACTGTAGGACAACAGAAACCTTCCCTCAGAAAACGGATCTGATAAGACAGGATGGACTGTAGGACGTAGGTTGTCTGAGAATCAGACATCGTATCTCTAACAAATGCAAAATTTATAGCTTTTTTTCATTTATTTCTCATCTTTAACTCCCCTTCGTGTGGTATTTTTCAGTTTTAGAAAAGGAATAATTGGCTTTTGCAAATAAAACATTCAAGCCATGTTAGGGATTCTGAATGTTCCTTTTATTTACAGGGCTTAAAGTCAAATTGATTATTAAAATAACCCTTTGAATAAAATTTTAAACCATGGATATAATAAAGTTTGGACTTTCAGTGTTAATGAAAATGGGGTGAAATAAATGCACTGGGGTGGTTTGGCATAAGGAGGAAAAAATAGGCTCACAGTTCTTTACCATTGTGTATTTGCTACCATTCACTTTGCTCCATCGTTCAGGCAACCATAAAACCTGTATGACACACCCTATGGAAACACATTAAGGGTTTGTAAAAAGCATTTCTTGAGTTAAATTGGTGTATTGTATAAATTTACGAAATCTGAAAGCCATAATATGGGTATTTATATACTGTACATGGCACAATTACTCTGTATTAAAGAAAGAAAATCTGTCTATCCCAGCTACTATGCTGTATTATACTGGCTGTTTAATTTCAGACAATATTTGAATGGTACAAAATGATACATGGACTGCTAACAGGCCGGGGTCCAATGTTAGAGATCACTGCTTTACTTATTATATTATATTTCTTAATGATGCAGTTTTGGATGTTGTTTATGAAACATTGAAACGCTTCTTGCTTTAAACTACTGTACGAAACTAGAATTCACTGAAAACTAAATAAGATGTTTCCTTTATCTGCATTTAAAAAACACCTGAGATATCAAAGACAAACATCCTCTCCAGAAATGAGTGGTTTTGTGTAGAGCGATCAGCAGTTTTACTACAGCCATATGAGTTTTTTTTCGTTGTTGATGCTCTAGTTTCTCAGCATTCCAAATGCATCTCCTTTCTTCTCTGGATGGCCTCAATTTACCTCCCGCAGCCTCTGAAACTGCTTTCTGAAATATCGCATGCTATCCTCAAATCAAGACATGCCACAATCAAAGCTGAAGGCTGAGAGATGCACTTTCTGTTTGACAGCACTTTGTAGCTAATGCTTTAAAGTGGAAAATGACAAACTTCTGTGCATATCACCTCATTCTGAAGTCAGGAATCCTTCTGTTTAGGATCACAGATTTCATGGCTTTCTTTAGCATCTATTATGAACTGACTAAAATATTATGCATAACATTAATTAATGTGTTGAGAAATAAATAACCTAAATTATGTAAAATCTCTGCTGTTATCACATATAATTTCTCAAAGAAATATATTTCTTGGAAGTTTAAAGTTTAAATATTATTGATAGTGTCTGATCTGTCATAAAAGTCCTCTCATAGCAAAAGCATGTGTGCCACGGAAGAGCTAATAATTGATATTGAGTGAACTATCTCAATAATGCAGTGCCCCCTAATCAGAGCATTCCAGTGGGAAGTCCTGTCTGTCTTTTAAATTTGTGATTCTCCTTCACTGCTCTGTTCTACATGCGGAAGGCAGTGCGTCTTTAGGGTTTACTTTCATAGAAAAGGCATACAACCTTCTGCAGGATAAAACAGGGTTTGGTGACTGGATATTTTTGCAAGAGTCATGCTTGAAATAAATTTTGTTTGCTTTTTTATTTAGGTGGCGGGTATCTTTAGAGATGCCAGTATCGGGAATGCAATCAACATTGTGATTGTGCGGCTTATCCTTCTGGAGCAGGATGAGGTAGGTCAAAGTCTCTTTTTCCTCTCTGTTTATTTTTTGATGAAGGGGACACACTGCACAGAGGAAATGCAGCATCACACAGTTATTATAATACATAAATTAACTGATAAAACAATTATGAGGAAAGCCAGAGTTGCACCTTCATAAGGCAATGTTGATATATAATGCACAAAGGTTAATTTTTTTTGCACCACACTGATTAGAATGTCAGTTTATTAAAAGCAATTACTGAAAGTCATGTTCTAGAATCGTCAAGTTAAATTTACTTTATTTTTACCCTCATTCTTTACTTGTTTAAAAACCTAAAATAGAAACCAAGACTGATTTTTTCCACAACACTTTTAAAATCAAATTTTTTATGTTAGGTCATTGAAAGCCTCCATTTTACAGTATGACTACCCCACAATATCTATATCAGCTCTACATATAAGCATATAAATACTCCATTGGGAAAAACACTGTTGTGTTCATTTATTCACTGAAAGGCTTTCAAACTCACTAGTCCCTGTGTAAAACTGTAAGTGTTCCCAGTGCGGCTGGGTAATTATATGCAATTTTAGTATGATCGCAGTTTTACAACACAATTTTCAAAATCACAGAGGCACTTTATTTATGTTCACATTGCGTTTAACAGGAATAAGACATTTATTCTCTCATTCCAGCCCCTCCACTGGCAGTAGTAGGCTTTAGTAGCTTTTCCACCACAGAAGGGAAACAAGTGTTGCAGCAGGTGAACCATAGACATACATAAAGAGAGTTGCCCTCTCCACTCAGTATAGGCAGGGTCAATAAAGTATCAACACATTTAATCTAGAGAAACTGTCTGAAAACTAAACTCTTCACACTTTTTGTGCAAACCTTTTAAATCCAACTCTCAGTGCTACATTTATGATTCAGAGCAACAATATTCTTAATAAAGGCAAATGGCAAGTATATTACTCTGATGTGCTATATATGTTTTTGGCAAAAAAAATATTCATTTTATTTAATTAATTTGTTATCATCTATTTATACATATTTATATCTATATATGCATACATTAAATCCTACAGCTATATTGTACATACTGTAAGAATATATTATAAAATAATTAATCAACATTGAAGCTATACATACATACACATTTTTTATCATCTAGTGTCTGTCAGGACACATTCGCACAAACCCATATTTACACACATACAAAGTTCCTCATATATGAGCTAAAACTTTTAAAATAGGAATGTTTTGGTGATTAAAAAAAAAAAAAATGTTCTTCTTTTTGCTGCATTTAATGTTATCTAGTTCTCAATACCTGATATGAATAGTCAATCTGAACAAAAGCATCCAGCACGGTGCTGAGGCATCTTCTGCTGTTTTGGTTTTTAGCCAAGTTGGAGGTCCACCCCAAGATGGTGGCAATATGTTATGCGCCCCAGCACCCAATGCGATTTCTATTTTATGTCTATGGTGCACACATTGATGCATGCAAGTAGAAGTCAGTGTTTTTTCGACCAACAAGCAAGTTTAAAGATTATGTAAACAATGAAACCCTGGAGTGAAACATCCACATGCAAATCTTTAGTGCCTAGGAAATTCTAAATAAAATCACAATCAAAAGTTTGGTTGAAAAGCTAAATATGTTCACCAAAATTGTGGAGAATCATCATAATGTTTTTTTTTTTTTTGGTTTCTTCTTTGGTTTGTTTGTGTTATCATTTTATTTTATTTTTTGCAGAGATTGTATCATTGGATGTGTGTATTTAGTGGAATTATTAACCCCTAATTAAAAATTAATGTATTTAAATTTGATTTGGGTTTTTTTATTTAGACCTGAAACTCACCTGTTATGTAGATTAAATGCAAACACAGTGAAATACTTAAAGTGTTCAATTCTGTTAATTGTGACGATTTTTCATTATGATAAATAAAAGCACAGAATTCTGCTTCTCAAAGAATTAAAATATTTGTTAATGTCACCCTTAAGCTACCTTTTGCCTTATTTTGATTCATCTTAATCAAATGAGGTGCACCTGCATATAAACCTTTCCATTTTGACTCAATCAGCCTTATTAACTAAAGTATAAAATAAAAAATTTCTTGAATCTAGTATTTCTGGATGCAGAATTGTTTTGCCTCCAGCACATCAATTTTTATTTTTTATTTTTGCAGCTGAGAATAAATGTCCTCATCTGGGAGTCGTGTTTATCACATCTAGTCTAATTTTTCCTTCGCCTTTTCTTTCCTGTGTTTTTGTGGAAGTTTGAAAAGAACCCAGCACATCACAGATATTTATTTGAGGGGAGAAATAAACCTGTTTATGCTCCTTATTTGCATTGTGCCCAATGCTCTGAAAATAAAGTGATTTAATGAAATATTTATGCACAACTAGCATCTGGACAGCACTTTTCTAAGATATGGTAATTAGAGACTTTCTGCGCCTCACACATTTGAGATTAAAGTCTAAATTAAAAGGACTTGGATAAACATTTTTCATTGCAGATAAAATGTTCTGCTGCTTAGTTTGGCTTAATTTACCGTGAGCATCATTTTGGACTTTTCCGTAGGGTAAGCATGTGCAATAAAACCTTGTTCCTAATGATTCACACTGGGTCTATTTAGGTTCAGTCATTTATTCTTTTTACACTGTTTGCAACATTTAACAGTTTAAAATAAGTGAAAACAGTTTCTCCACTGACCTTTGCCATGATGCATAATTAAAATGCATCTCAAATTAACAATAGAACTGAAGTTATAATCTTGCTGAATCCAAATGGTTTTTGGAACCCTTTCACTGTATTTTTGCTGCTTTTGTATCACCTCCTAATTCATACATTTACCCTTTGTTCTGTTTCTTGTGTATTTATTTGGGAAACACGTCTACCAGGATGACCTAAAGATTACACACCATGCTGACAACAGCCTGAGCAGCTTCTGTAAATGGCAGAAAAAACTCAACATGAAAGGAGACGAGCACCCGCTGCACCATGATGTGGCTGTTCTACTCACCAGGTAAATAAGTTCCCAACAGAAGAAACTGAAACCGTAACAGAACCACGCCGTGAAGGTGGCTACAAAGACTTTGCAGCAAAGGGATTTCTTCTTATGTGACTGAGCAGTTTATAATTAGTAGTTCATTTAGAAAAGTGTTTTTTTCCCTCTGTAATAAATTTACCATTACCACTAGCTGTCATTCTTATTTCTTTATATATTGTTTTTATATTTTAAAATGTAGTGTCTATCTGTAAATGCTCCTTCTTGCCTGTCATTCTCCCCTGTCGTAAATTCATATTTTCTGTTCTATTCTAGATAATAAACTAGCTTGGGACTTGTTTTTATGACTTACTGTGCCTTACACAAGTATTTATTCCTCTTGAAGCTTTATAATAAGTGAAATTGAAACCTCAAACCTCATTTTTTGGGGGATATTTTGTGTGATAGATGCTGACAAATCAGTAAACGATTTCGAATTATAGTGAAGAAATACAAATGTCACCTTTCAAAAACAACATGAAAAAGAGTGGGCATATGTGTTCAGGCCCCCTGAATTCATACTTTTCGGAGAGATCTTTTTTCAGGTAAATACAGCAGCAGATATTTAGGCACCGATACCACCAACACTGCTGGATTAGAGGTACCTAGAGGGTCTTTTTTCTTTGCCAAACAGATTGAGCTCAGCCAGGTTAGATGGAGAAAGTCTTTAAATCATAAATACATAAATTAGATTTAGGTCTGGACTTTGGGTCATTCTAACACATGAATATACGTCTATGTTAACTATTGATTTGTATAATTGACTGATTGTTTAGCTTTGTTATCCTACTGGAAGGTGATCACCTGCCATAGTCTCATCTCCTCTCTAGTCTGTCATAGATTTTCTTCTAGTGCCATATTGTCTTTAATTCTTTCTCACATAAACACTTTTCTGTGGGTGTCATCACAAAAAAGCTAAGTAATACAAAAAGAAAGTTCAGAGTTGTAACATAATGATATGTATCCTTTATATCTAGAAGCTGTTCGAACACAATAATCTTTTAAAAATCTTTTATCAGGTGTTTAATACTCATAAAAGTTGTGTGTAAACAAAAATATCAATCTTTCTTTGCTTCTGTTTGTGTTAGGGTCGTCGGAGACATTATTCTGCTTGTTTCTGGATCAAATCAGGTCTATGTTTTCATATATAGGTCATCAGAGAGTTTGACATGCTTCTTATACCAGACGGATGTTTTTGTTATTAATTATTTATGATCCGTAAAGTATTATTATTTTGGCAGTCTGAACCTAAATTGATGTCCTAGTTAAAAAAAAATTAATGTTTGAAATGGTAAATGTAAACTTGCTCTACACTTGACCCAAGCACATGAAACATAGATTTGATATCCTTGTTATTTTATTTTCAATGGTTCATTTTCATAGCAGACACAACGCATTTATGTTATTATTAATCACGGTTCCTTAGTTCTTTGCAACTTTAGAGGAAAAAAAACATAATGGCATCCTGAGTTTGCAGGAAAATAAGGAACAAAACAAATTGCCTTCTCTCTTTTTTTAGAGTAGGCCTACATGATTGCCATATTAGATGTTTATCACGTTCTCAAAATCAGTCAATTGAGGGAGATAGAATTGGATAACAAAACATGGTACATTGCATGCTTTTCTAAATGTCACCTATAAAAAGGGACCTTTGAAATAATTTTACTCTCAAAGCAATTTGGTGCTGTAATTGTGTGTGATAAAAGTTTGTCATGCATGTTTCTTTAATAAAACAGGGACAAAAATTTGAATATTTTTGTGTATTAGTTTGCTGCTGTCTCTGGCTTTTTAACATTGAAATATGCTCCAATAACTCCAAAACTTACATGTAAACTTGAACCACATTATGGTGGAGAAAATAAGGTTTTTCACATTTCTTTTTATTTTTATCTGCCTGAACTAAAGGGAAGAAAAAACAAATATCAGCCAGACTTAAAGAATCAGAAGGCTCATTAATTGTTCATAGAACAGCCAGTCTCTGCTGTATGATTGCCTAACATGGTGCTACTGAGATATCCCCAGTAATTAAGTTCTGTATTGACTACTGCAGAATGTACAAGAGTGCAAAGTCAGACTTTCAAGTTAGAAAATATAATGAAGTGTTAGAGTTTCTTTTGAAACGTATAGATTCTATAATAAAGGAAGAAATTGTAAAAAAAAAAAAAAAAAAAAAATTCCATGTTTGGTTTGGCCTTTTCTTGATGGGAGGTCTTTAAAGATGAAGACTTTCATTTAAAATTGATTTTGTTTGAAACGCTGCCAAAATATTTCATACAGTTCAAGTGACCAGAAATTTCATATTTGTGGATGTTTGACAGCTCCTTTTTCAGAAATATTAGGACTGCTCTATATTGTTCAGTTTTAAGAATTTTACCATATGTACACATAGCCCATGCATATTCAATTGCTTTGAAGCTTCTTTCCATATACTGTAGTTATTTTATTCTTTGTTTTTTTTTCAACACATGTTTGGAATCATCTTTTTGGCAAACTCTTGGCCACTATTTTGCTGGTAATTATGAGTTGTTTCAGAATTGTGGGTTTGATTGAACTTTCTATAAAGCAGCAGGTCCACATGCAAAGAAACCAACTCAAGGCGTAATATTACCACCACTATATAAGATACCAGTTAGTGTTTTTTAGTTTGGCCTAAATTTGACCTTTAAAAACTTTCTTCTTGTCAATGTTGTTCATCCCTGGTCTCCTCTGTCCATAGAATGTGACTATAGATTGTCCTCTAGAATCGTTTCAACCCATGCTGGTGCCAGACTGCCTTCAGTGTACTCATATTCCGGTGTTCTGTCAGCTGAGCGTACCTCATCAGACCAGCATACCCACAGTCATGACGCATGCACAAGATGTCAGATTTGTGTTTATCCCGTTAGTTTTGTACGAAAAATAGACTTTATACTAACTCAACGGGCATGTTTTCCTTTAGTAATGTAAAAAATATATATATTTAACGTGAGATCGCCATATGCTTTAAAAAACACCAAAAATAAGTAATTAAATTGTTTTTTTAAGATCACTAAAGGGATGAACTAAAGGGATAAACTAAAGGGATAAATGGGTATTGACTCTGGGTATGCCGGTCTGACCGGGTATGCTCATCTGAAAGGACACCTTCAGTTTCTAGTTAAGCCTTGCAAATTCATCAATGGTGGTACTAAAAACCATGCAGTTGACAGAATTTATTTTAGCGAGGATTTAGCGAGATGCAAAGGTGTAGTTATAGTCCTATTCTTAAACCAAAGCACTCAGGTTGAGTTTATTTGTTAAAAATAGACAATGTATATTAATAAATTGACTTGTACATCAAATATGCCTGATCATACCCTAATCTGGCTTTGTCGCCGTGGATATCTTTAAACAGATCTCTGACTTTGGCCTGGCTGGTGAACAAGTTCATATCCATCCATTCTTTGCTTCCACCAGTCCAATAATGAAACACCACTGGGATTCAGAACTGGGGGCCAGTTCCTCCTGATTATGCCTCCCTGAGTGTCGCCTTCGTTTCCCACATGGCCATTAAAGTCCCCCATGAGAATGATGAAATCCCAGAAAGGAATCCCTGCACTCCATGCAGGGATTCTAGGAAGGCCTGGTACTTTGTACAGCCACTCTGCCCCTAAGTCTAGATGAATGTTAGATCCCTCTCATCCACTGCAGTGAGTCCAACAAGAGACTGCTGAGCTGTGGGTGAAAATCAGACCAGCCCCACCCCCTGCCTCTCCCCGCATGCCACCCTAGAGCAAAGAGTTCATGGAAACCTTATTGTCCCCATAGGGCCATTTGTTTTACAGCCTGCAGTAGCGTGCAAACAACTATACTAAAATAGGTTAATCACTTGTTCAGGAGAGAAATAGCTCCAGGGACAAATTAATATTTAAGTCTGTTACTCCCACATTTTAGCAGTACATACCTACCCAGCAGACAAACTATTTTAACATAGCTTCTTGGTTGGATATGGGTTTCAATGTTGGACAAGCAAAAGCCAACATTGATAAGTCTAAACCAAACATTGATTAAACATAAAGTGTTTAACATCAATCTGATGTTTTCATTTAGTTGGTTTCAAGTAGTGTTGGCTAGTAACCAATACTCAATGTCTCCTCAACATTGAGTGCTAATGTTTAATTAAGGATTTATTGTAAATCCAACTTTCATTTTTACACCATAAGCCAATGGAAAGCCAACATTGGGGTATAACTTTGTTTCAAGATTAAATTGATGGCAATTGCCTGCTATGTGGTAAACAGGTAGAAGCAGGAAGTGACCAGGGCTGGTTCTGATTCCCAAGGATGAAGCGGGCCTTGCCAAGAGATCTGAGCTTGAACGGGGATTGATGTCAGCTAGTTGAATATCTAGTCGAGCCTCTTTAAGGAAGCTGGGTTCCATTGCCCAGGCTGCATGAACGTGAGCCAGACTATTTCAAGCCAGTGTAGCTCTACCTCCCACAGATGCTGAAAATTTCCAAATGCAGCAAGACTGATTACACACTTGCATAAATGTTCTTGCTCCTTATTTCATAACATTGGAAACCATTTGACCATTTGATGTTGGAATTGATGACAAAATAATTCATTTTAGAGAGCAGACATTTAGAAGGAGAGGTTGCCTAATGTGTAAGAGGGAAAAAATGTCAAAATTGGTATCTAGGTATAAAGCATGACAATTGCTTGCTTTTAACTCGGAGGTGGCAGATTCTTGAATTTAAAAAGTTTTGGGGTTTGTAGAAAGATCAGAAGTTTGAAAAAAAAAAAAAAAAAAAAATATATATATATATATATATATATATACACTCACCGGCCACTTTATTAGGTACCCCATGCTTGTAACGGGTTGGACCCCCTTTTGCCTTCAGAACTGCCTCAATTCTTCGTGACATAGATTTAACAAGGTGCTGGAAGCATTCCTCAGGGAGTTTGGCCCATATTGACATGATGGCATCACACAGTTGCCGCAGATTTGTCCGCTGCACATCCATGATGCGAATCTCCCGTTCCACCACATCCCAAAGATGCTCTATTGGATTGAGATCTGGTGACTGTGGAGGCCATTTGAGTACAGTGAACTCATTGTCATGTTCAAGAAACCAGTCTGAGATGATTCCAGCTTTATGACATGGCGCATTATCCTGCTGAAAGTAGCCAACAGAAGTTGGGTACATTGTGGTCATAAAGGGATGGACATGGTCAGCAACAATACTCAGGTAGGCTGTGGCGTTGCAACGATGCTCAATTGGTACCAAGGGGCCCAAAGAGTGCCAAGAAAATATTCCCCACACCATGACACCACCACCACCAGCCTGAACCGTTGATACAAGGCAGAATGGATCCATGCTTTCATGTTGTAGACGCCAAATTCTGACCCTACCATCCGAATGTTGCAGCAGAAATCGAGACTCATCAGACCAGGCAACGTTTTTCCAATCTTCTAATGTCCAATTTCGATGAGCTTGTGCAAATTGTAGCCTCAGTTTCCTGTTCTTAGCTGAAAGGAGTGGCACCCGGTGTGGTCTTCTGCTGCTGTAGCCCATCTGCCTCAAAGTTCAACGTACTGTGCGTTCAGAGATGCTCTTCTGCCCACCTTGGTTGTAACGGGTGGTTATTTGAGTCACTGTTGCACTTCTATCAGCTCGAACCAGTCTGGCCATTCTCCTCTGACCTCTGGCATCAACAAGGCATTTCCGCCCACAGAACTGCCGCTCACTGGATGTTTTTTCTTTTTCGGACCATTCTCTGTAAACCCTAGAGATGGTTGTGCGTGAAAATCCCAGTAGATCAGCAGTTTCTGAAATACTCAGACCAGCCCTTCTGGCACCAACAATCATGCCACGTTCAAAGTCACTCAAATCACCTTTCTTCCCCATACTGATGCTCGCTTTGAACTGCAGGAGATTGTCTTGACCATGTCTACATGCCTAAATGCACTGAGTTGCTGCCATGTGATTGGCTGCTTAGAAATTAAGTGTTAACGAGCAGTTGGACAGGTGTACCTAATAAAGTGGCCGGTGAGTGTATATATATATATATATATATATATATCTTGCCAGTTTGCCATGTTGCCTCTCTCACTCCTTTGCTTTTGATGTGCTTCTTTCATCTGCTTCTTAAGAGGATACCATTAATGCAGTTTTTTTTCAGGTGATCCCATCATCCAGATATTCATCATGGCCCCCTGCCATGTTTCAATTGTTTAATGCACTAAATATTTCCATGCGGCAACCTTTGCAGACTGAGACATTGCACTTGCAAACACAAAAAAAAAATGCAGCAACTGCATAATTGTTTTTTCAGATTTTAAATTATATTGTAATTATCTAAAACCTAAATTACAAAAAAATGTCACTTAGCATGTTGTCTCTAGATTAAGTGATAAACTCATTTGACAGATGAGGAGGAATATCACTAACGCTCAGTCTGCTTCTCAAAGGAAGGACATATGTGCAGCTTTCAACATGCCATGTGAGACTCTGGGACTGTCTCATGTGGCGGGAATGTGCCAACCTCATCGCAGCTGCAGCATTAGTGAAGACACGGGCCTCCCCATGGCCTTCACAGTGGCACACGAGCTGGGGCACAAGTAAGGCTTTGTTTCATTTTTAGTATGTGCTAAATCATTCCTGTTACTATCATTTTATTTCCCACCAAACAAGTCATGGTCGCCATATGAGGTGATCTAGACAGCTCATTGGGCCAAAGTACAGGTGCTGGTCATAAAATTAGAATATCATGAAAAAGTAGATTGATTTCAGTAATTCCATTTAAAAAGTGAAACTTGTATATTATATTCATACATTACATACAAACTCATATATTTCAGATGTTTATTTTGTTTAATTTTGATGATTACAAATGACAACAAATGAAAATCTCAAATTCATCATATCAGAAAATTAGAATATTACTGAAGACCAATAAAAACAAAGGATTTATAGAAATGTTGGCCAACTGAAAAGTATGAACATGAAAAGTATGAGCATGTACAGCACTCAGTATTTAGTTGGGCCTCCTTTGGCCTGTATTACTGCAGCAATGCGGCGTGGCATGGAGTCGATCAGTCTGTGGCACTGCTCAGGTGTTATGATAGCCCAGGTTGCTCTAATAGTGGCTTTTAGCTCTTCTGAATTGTTGGGTCTGGTGTATTGCATCTTCTTCTTCACAATACCCCATAGATTTTCTATGGGGTTAAGGTCAGGAGAGTTTGCTGGCCAATTAAGAACAGGGATACCATGGTCCTTCAACCAGGTACTGGTAGCTTTGGCACTGTGTGCAGGTGCCAAGTCCTGTTGGAAAATGAAATCTGCATCTCCAAAAAGTTGGTCAGCTGCAGGAAGCATGAAGTGCTCTAAAACTTCCTGGTATGTGGCTGCGTTGACCCTGGACCTCAGAAAACACAATGGACCAACACCAGCAGATGACATGGCACCCCAAACCATCACTGACTGTGGAAACTTTACACTGGACTTCAAGCAACGTGGATGAAGTGCCTCTCTTCTTTTCCTCCAGACTCTGGGACCTTGATTTCCAAAGGAAATGCAAAATTTACTTTCATCAGAGAACATGACTTTGGACCACTCACCAGCAGTCCAGTCCTGTTTCTCTTTAGCCCAGGCAAGACGCTTCTGACGCTGTCTGTGGTTCAAGAGTGGCTTGACACAAGGAATGCGACAGCAGAAACCCATGTCTTTCATACGTCTGTGTGTGGTGGTTCTTGAAGCACTCACTCCAGCTGCAGTCCACTCTTTGTGAATCTCCCCCACATTTTTGAATGGGTTTTGTTTCACAATCCTCTCCAGGGTGCGGTTATCTCTCTTGCTTGTACACTTTTTTCGACCACATCTTTTCCTTCCCTTCGCCTCTCTATTAATGTGCTTGGACACTGAGCTCTGTGAACAGCCAGCCTCTTTAGCGATGACCTTTTGTGTCTTGCCCTCCTTGTGCAAGGTGTCGATGGTCGTCTTTTGGACAACTGTCAAGTCAGCAGTCTTCCCCATGATTGTGTAGCCTATAGAACTAGACTGAAAGACCATTTAAAGGCTTTTGCAGGTGGTTTGAGTTAATTAGCTGATTAGAGTGTGGCACCAGGGGCCATCAATTTTGAACCTTTTCACAATATTCTAATTTTCTGATATGATGAATTTGAGATTTTCATTTGTTGTCATTTGTAATCATCAAAATTAAACAAAATAAACATCTGAAATATATGAGTTTGTATGTAATGTATGAATATAATATACAAGTTTCACTTTTTAAATGGAATTACTGAAATCAATCTACTTTTTCATGATATTCTAATTTTATGACCAGCACCTGTATTGGAATAACTTTGATCTGCTGTTTTTACTACTCTTCTGGCATTTACATTTATTTCAGATCAAAACAGAAATTCAGCACCTTGGAAAATTAACCCTGCCTTCATTAATGGGGAAAAACTCTATTGCTAAGTGTGGATGCTTAGGAAATTGCCGTCTTGCTTTGTCCACATCCGCCATGATTAGGATAATAGGATTGTTTTTACATTTCCAATTAACCTTGCTGTGACACCCAATTTCCTCTTAAACCGAGCTCATTCCTTTGTTGTGAGCTTGCTTTTTTCAACCAAATGTATTACACTTATTTTTATTGATTGTTTGTTCCTTCCTCTTTTCGCTTTATTAGACTTTATTTGACATTAAAGTAGATTGGAGTTTTCCTCCTGTTTTCTTTTTTATTTCTATTCCTTTGGCAACTAAAAGAAGATTTAGCCTTAAAAAACATATGTCTCAAGGAGAAAAAGAACTGATAGTACAACAGCATTATTCATAGTTATATATGACAGATTTTATTATGTATGCATTCATGCATGTATGCATTTTCTTAAACTTTCTTGTTCTGCAGGTGTGTCACGGCATCTGGAGAATGCATTAGGAAAATTGGGATTGATAGAATAGCATTTTCTATGCATTAATGTATACATAGAAAATGCATGCATGTATACATAAAGGGAAAAACAAAAACTAGACTACATGTACTAAGCAACGTAAAGATTATCAAGGACCCAACTGTCTGCTTAATTTATTGCTTTTTATTCAGTGTAATTCAGTATTTGGAACATTAATGAAATATCACACCCACTGAACTTTTCAAGTCAGTCCTTACTGATTTTCACAATAGTAAAATAACTTAATAACAAATGTAGTCTGCAAATCTTTTATCTGCTGTTATGTGTCATTATTTATCCAGTATTATAACCCCCACCCATATATAAATATAATTAATATACTAACATACCTGTATAATCTGTATATAGTTCATATTTATTTATTTTATAGCTTCTTACAATTACTCTCCATATATTTATACCATTTTACATGCATAGTCTCTAAGCACATGTAAATAAATATAACACTTCTGGATAGATGTAATGTATTGTAATGACAATAAAGTTGAATTCTAGCCTAATAAACCAGACTAAATGTGAGATTAAATGTGTAATTTAGTCTGGCCCCGATGAATGTGACATCAGAAGATTGTTGATAAGAGCAACCCGTTGTTTTTCAAACCATGTCTGTGCCTATTGGCCAACGCTCTGACCAATGAGCGCAACTGACTGTGACGTAGTAAGTGCTACAGAAAGCTGGTAGGGGAGTGTAAACAAACAGCCTGTCGGTAAAACATCCTTCTTAAAAATGAATGAGCGTAGAGCCTCTTCCTGATCATGTTTCAACGAAAACCCCAAGTCTAATCCCTTCAAAACTGATTCTAAAGCTGAGTCAAATGAGAACTGTTTGATAGTTGTTGCCATCTTCCTTGTGCTTTCTCCAGCGCCGCACAGCTTTGTCGTCACGCCACAAAAACCCGCCTGCTTTGCATCAATAAAATTCAAAAGACATCTCTGCATTGTGATTGGCCTGCCAGTTGATCGAGGCTAGACCACTTGCAGGCATAAATAATTTTTGCTGCTGGCAGATGGGGCTAGTTTACTAGGCTAGTTGAATTCTATTCTATTTTACTTATCATGAGGTAGAAAACTTAACTGGTTCCACTTGATTATCTCTAGAAATCCTGTTGTACCCGGATTGCCTCTATAAACTTAACTCAAAGTCACCTTCAGTGCTGGACCTTTGATTTTTTTATTAAAAAAGCAGCCTTTTCTGTTCTATGTCTGCATAGTTAGTCCTGTAATTTAAAGATATTTGCAACATTTGTTGACAGGTCTTGGACTGGTGGGAGCCCTTTGTGAATACCTCACCTTTCTAAAAGGAGAAAATGTTTTCATTGATCCTTTACTGGGGTCACAGTCTGAGGCTGCAGTTAAGAGTTTGAAATGGTGATAGTACAAGAAGCATTCTCATGAATAAAATAGTGTAGACAAATCTTTATGAACAGAAATTGTCTTTAAATGTTGAATTTGCTTGAATGCCCAATGGTGCAAAGGCTTATAGGGTAGTTGTTAACGACTTCTTCAGAAAAAGTAATACTTATATTATCTAGCTAAAAAGTGGTTTGATTAGAGTGGAATTAGGTGTTGTGATTTAACACACAATTCATATTTAGGACACTCCCTGGTTTTCATGGACTAAGCAGTTAAGCACATGGACAAAGGAATAAATATATATATATATATATATATATATATATATATATATATATATATATATATATATATATATATATATATATATATATATATATATATACATCCTAATTGTTTATTTTTTCTAAAAGCTTAAACAAAAATGTTTTTTGTTTGATTGTTTCTTTACTTTTTTAACTAAAGAAAATGAGTTTAACCAAACCAAAATTAACTAAGGTTTTCAGACAAAAACTGACCTGCTCATAATGAACACACAACAGAATTTATACACAAAAAAAACAAGCCTACTGCGATAAAGTAAATCAGTAAAAACTTATGTATTCATCAAAATCTTTGATTTAGAGCCTTATTGTGTAGTTGTTCCACAATAAGGCTCTCCTACATCCCTGTTGGATTCCTCCATTTCCTGGTGCTTCATCATAAAAAGTCTTCTCCCACAGCCTGTTCTTTACATCTCAGCAACTAAAAAATAAACAATAAAAAATTAAATTAAAAGAAAAGGAAAATAAAAAAATTCACATTTTAAACAACTATACTCATACCCATATACTTTTACCAAATGTGTTTAAAACAACATCATTAAAAGGTTAAACTATAATTAAAAGGACTTGTGTGATAGTACAGTATACTAACTCCAAACAAATGGGCTGGAGGAACCTTCACACTGGTTAAACTAATGAAAGATAAAGTTTAGTAATAGCACATTTGTTTCACATCACATCATTTTTGATTAAATTTCAATGTAATTGATTTTGAAAGCAAAAATTCATCCTTTGAAAAAAAATCAGCAAACTAGTTAATACAATTATAAAGTTGCCACCCATATTATTCATTTATTTGTATTTTCATAGACAGACTTAAGCGAAATTGTAAAGCATGTTAAATATGATAGCAGTTTTCATTAACACTAGGGGTCTGACAGTCTCATATTAGATTATATATTTTAATGCTATCTGCTCAAGTAGACAAATTTTTATCATAAGAGCAAGATAAGAATTTCATAGTAGTTTTTCATCCCGGTAACATGGGGCTGTTAGCATCAGTTGCTGGCGGTGCACCGATGCATTCATGCATCGTACAGTCAGGAATATCTACTTAGGTTCAAGGAGCTCATTAAAACCTCTTTAAACCATAAAAAGTAAGGTTATTTAATTTTCCAATCCTAACATTGTCAGTTAGTTGTTTTGATGAAAATACAGGGCATCCTCCAAAAGCTGCACTGAGAAAAAATAAGTGTATTATAACATAATAAACCTTTAAGTGTGCAGCTGTGATATAAGCTGTTTTAGTAGTTCTGTACTTATCGGCACAATGGTATTTGTTTCTATTTATTTGCAACTAACTTGCTGCTAATCTTTGTGACACCATAAAACAGTTTTCGGATTGTTATTTATTTATTTTGTTACTGTTAGTCCCGTTACTCATCTATCCCATTAGATCAACAGATTTGGAAAGTGTAGTTATGTTCCTGCCATTGTTGTTATGACAATGCTTCATATCATAATATTTTACACTCTGTTTACTGTCTGTCTGTTAAAATCTGTTTGCGTCTTGCATAATCTTATTATATTATATTTCTACAGAAAAAATCCAACTGAGTCCAGTCCTATTTACATTTATTTTGTATTTCTTCCTATTTAATTAATTTATTATTTGTTAGAATTATGAGTCGTATAAAGATAGACAGCATATTTTCTGACTTCAAAAATGAATTCAGATTGAAAAGAACTGGTATTTGAGATATGTTGAAGTCATGTTTGAAGCAATAGGTTCTACTACAAATGTGGTTTTTATAAAGGCAGAAATTGGGGAAAGCTTGCAGAGCTGCTGTGCTATAATATTTAATAAAGTTAATCTTTTTGCATATTTCAGCATCTTATAACGCTGCTTGCTTAACTAAATTAACTAAACTGATAAATTGGCAAAAGAAAAAAGTGTTTGTGAGATTACAACTCAAAATTTGCTTTAAAAAATTAAGTGTATTTCCTGGAAAGTTATGGTATCAATGTATCTATATAAACAGTACTCTGATATTAACATTTTTGTTTAAATAAAAAGCAAAGATACAGTGTGGCATTATTTATTTATGTGAGCAAACCTTTTGGCATTTTAATAAAAATAAAAAATAACATGTCTTTCAGCCTTGCTAAAATAAGACTCCATAGCCCACCCTTCAATTTATGAGGCTGTCTGGTAACCAAACATTAACCTTTGACTCGGTGAACTGTGTGACACCTAGAAAGGTTTTGGCTTTCAAGGTAAAATAAAAGCTGCTACAAACTCCTACTTATTGAATGTAAATTAAGGAGCACAGTAGGGAAAATGCTGAAAATACATTTTAGGAAAGGTTTAAAAAGTACAAAAAAAAAAAACAAACAAAAAAAACATTGGACTTGTTTTCAAAGTTTGAGGAGGTTTTGCTTCCCATTCAGGAAGCTTTCTCAATTCAAAATGTCTGGAGTAGGGTTTCACGGCTTATAAAGTGGTACAAACAAAAGCCTTGTTATGGCTTAGAAAACATGCAAATTAAACCAGAAGAACAGATCCACCCCTTACTGTAGTAATGGGGAGTCGTTGAGGTCGTTGTTGGACTTCAAGACCCAATACTGGCCTAGGCCTCTGAAACCAGAGTCATTAGGGTCATTGTTAGCCTGGCTGATCAGGCGAGATGTTTGGTCCCTTGCATAGCGATGGTGGTTGAAATGATCGTGGGAAGGAATCAACTCTATTGCTGCGTAGGTTTTTGAGAGCTGGAACCTGAGACCACCCAATATGTTTAAGGTTGGCTTTTCTCTCTTAACATAAATGGCTTCCTTCACACCCTTCCCCAGATATTTTGACTTGAGAAGTCCATTGTTTTTTTTGTTTTTTTTGTTTTTTTTTTTTTTACTTCATTGGAATGACTTTGGCTGTGTTCACATAGCAGCCTGATATGACCCAAATCCGATTTTTTTTTTTTTGCCCAGATACAACCTGGATCTGATCTGTTCATGGCAGTCTGAACAACACAGATCCGATTTTTTTCCTATGCTACCCAGGCCACTCTGCTATGTGGTCCTGAATCCGATACAAATCTGATCTTTTAAAATGCCACCTGAACGGCCAGGTCGATCTTAACGTCATTAATAATCAACAAAGGTCACTCTTCTGCATCTTGCTACAAAGAAGTGGGACAAAAAACAACAACCATGGTGGAGGATAATGCGGAGAGCAATCTTTTTTTCTTAATCATCTTGAAAAGATTGAGGTTTTAAGGTTGGGAAAGATTGCTAGATTTGCTCCAGCTCTACCATCCATGTTTACTTCCGTACACAGAGCACGCTTGTTGTGACGTCCTCCACTGTGCATGTGCATTCTGGTTTCACAAAAAAATTAAAATCTGAATTGAGCATTAAGGCTGCAGTGAGAATGTAGCTTATGACCTGGATGACTGAGAATCTTCACCAGCATTTTAGGAAAGGGCTGAAGTTTTGTTCAGCTCAATTTCAGCTCTTAAGTTCTGGTTAAATTTTTAAAAATATTAAGTTTTCCATTCAACACACAAACACTTCTTTATATAGAATGTTCTCTTTCAACAGCTATTTCGCTCAGGCTAAGTAGTAAACTGTGACTATTGTCAGTTTTAAAGCATGCTCTGTTATAAAAGAAATATTACTTTGCAACCTTAAGTGGTAACTGCTTTTTTTCATTTTTGTGAAACAGAAAAGCAAACAAAATTAATTTGCTTTCCCCGTTTAGCAATATACTTCAAAGAGTTTCAAACCCCTTGAAGGTTGAATTTTTAATCGTTATTTTACACGTGCACTATGCTTCAAAAAGTTGTCTGTTACACATACAATTTACACATTTTTATGAGGAGCATCTTAAAAAAAATTGAGATAGGTAGGAAGTTAGTGGGCTTCTATTCAGTGAAGGACATAAAACATCCACACATGTAATGTGATGGCAGCTTTCTTCTGGAAGCCATAAGATACAGGTGAACTCCTACAAAGTAAATAACAAATAGGTTTGTGTCTACCCCTAGTTTGCCCAGACTTTATTTATTGCAAGCTGTCTGAGTCAGGGCTACTGCCTCCACAGCAAATGAGATGAAAGTTAAATATTGACCTTTAAATCAGAAAAAAAAGATTTTCCTGACAGACATTTCTCTTTTGTTGCCATACTTTGCTTCGTGTGTTTATAATTTGAACAGCTAAGTTTGGTCTGTGCTCACAACTCTGAGCATTAAAGTTGTTTCTGATTCTGATAATTGTATTACATGCAATGCCGACTCACATTAATTGGCCCATTTTGTGGTATTTGCTTTTATGTCACAGCTTTGGGATTCAGCACGATGGCAACGGTAATGACTGTGAACCCATTGGGAAACGACCTTTCGTCATGTCTCCACAGCTCCTGTATGGCACCTTCCTGCCTCGCTGGTCCCGCTGCAGCCGTCAGTATATCACCCGCTTCCTAGAGTAAGTGTTGCTTTATCTGTTTGATTGCATTACTGTCCGACAAATGTTCAAGGTTTTGAGTCCCAAAAATTTTTCTCTCTAACCCATGTGGAGTCATACTGGGGTATTTCGGTCACCTGTTGTCAATTTCAGTTATTTCAGGCTTGATGGAACAACATAGATTCTTATATATGATAGGATAGGATGCTTCTTCTCCTTCTTCTTTCAACCGATTCCTTGCAGTTGAAGCCCCTTATCATCCAAATCAACTACTTTTATTGTCTGTATAGTCTTACACTTCCCATTTTCTACTCAATAATATTTACTATTATTTTCATACTATAAGAAAAAAGTGCCAATATCGCTTTTCCACTCTGTCTTTTTGGCCTTTGACTGAAGGTTTTAATTAAAAAGCAATAAAGTACCACACACAAATGAATGTTGACATTTTTAAAGAAAATGAATAGTAGAGTTTTTATTTCATATATACAGTGAGGAATATAAGTATTTGAACACCCTGCTATTTTGCAAGTTCTCCCACTTGGAAATCATGAAGGGGTCTGAAATTGTCAAGATAGCAGCATTTCTGCTGTGCAAGACATAATCTAAAAAAAAAATCCAGAAATGACAATGTATTATTTTTTAAACTATTTATTTGTATGATGCAGCTGCAAATAAGTATTTGAACACCTGTCTATCAGGTAGAATTCTGACCCTCACAGACCTGTTATTCTGTCTTCAAAATGTCAAGATGCATCTGTTGGAGGCCGTATGTCCACCCCATACAATCAGTAAGATTCCAACTGCTAACATGGCCAAGAACAAAGAGCTGTCCAAAGACACTAGAGACTAAAGTGTACACCTTCACAAGGCTGGAAAGAGCTACTGGGAAATTGCCAAGCAGCTTGGTGAAAAATAATCTCCTGTTGGAGTAATTATTAGAAGCTAAACATGACTGAAAATCTCCCCCGGACTGTGGCTCCATGCAACATCTCATCTCGTGGGGTATCAAAGGTGAGAAATAAGCCCAGAACTACAAGGGAGGAGCCGGTCTGAAAAAAGCTGGGACCACCGTTTCCAAGGTTACTGTTGGTAATACAGTAAGACGTCATGGTTTGAAATAATGCATGGAATAAAGCCCATCTTAAGTTTGCCAATAACCATTTGGATGATCCAGAGGAGTCATGGGAGAAAGTCATGAGGTCAGACGAGACCAAAATAGAACTTTTTGGTCATAATTCCACTAACCGTGTTTGGAGGAAAAAGAATGATGAGTACCATCCCAAGAACACCATCCCTACTGTGAAGCATGAGGATGGTAGCATCATGCTTTGGGGTTGTTTTTCTGCACAGGGGACAGTGTGACTGCACTGTATTAAGGAGAGGATGACTGAGGCCATGTATTGGGGCACAACCTCCTTCCCTCAGTTAGAGCATTGAAGATGAATCGAGGCTGGGTCTTCCAACATGACAATAACCCGAAGCACACAGCCAGGATAACCAAGGACTGGCTCTGTAAGAGTCCATATCGAGGTTATAGTGTGGCCTTTCCAGTCCCAAGACCTAAACCCAATAGAAAATCTTTGGGGGGAGCTCAAGCTCCGTGTTTCTCAGTGACAACCCAGAAATCTGACTGATCTAGAGAAGATCTGTGTGGAAGAGTGGGCCAAAATCCCTGCTGCAGTGTGTGCAAATCTGGTGAAAAACTACTGGAAATGTTTGACCTCTGTGATTTAAACGTAGGCTACTGTACCAAATATTAACATTGATTTTCTCTGGTATTAAATACTTATTTGCAGCTGTATCATACAAATAAATGGTTTATAAAATCATACATAGTGATTTCAGGATTATTTTTTTAGATTATGTCTCTGACAGTGGACATGCAGCTACGACGATAATTTCAGACGCCTCAACAATTATTAAGTGGGAGAACTTTCAAAATAGCAGGGTGTTGAGATTCTTATTTTCTTCTCTGTATATATTATAACAAACACAAGAGGTTAAAGGATTCTCCATAAAGACTTAAACATTGTGATCATTTAGGTATTTTTATGCAATGACTGCTGTTGAATGCATATAGGATCTTTTGTTTTGAATGTGTTGGTATAAATCATTTGGAAAATAAATAGATTAAAGCATGTTGAACTCACCTGCAGTTTCTTTTACATGTTTGCTTAGGAACCATGCTTTTTTGTTGATTTTTCACAAATAAAGGTTTTAATCTCGGAAAAACGTACATTTTGTAGGAATTAAGGAATTATGGCAACTTTTATTGTGTGATATGCAGTATTGGTCCTCTTGAAAAAGAAGTTGTTGTTTGATTCCAGTTTAATTCACTCTATTTTCTACCAAATTTCACTCAGACCATGAAGGTAATCTAATATAGACTAGGCTGTTGACAGTACTGATAAAACCTGTTCAGTTAAGTAAGGTAAGTTGTGCTTTAGAATCTGTGAAGCAATCAAAATTTTTCGGAAGAAAATCAGCTTTAATGTTTTGTTTGTTGAAGTTTTGTGTCCTATCATTAGCACTACAAACACCATAACAAATCAAGGGGTTCTTAGTTGTGTAAAAGTTTTTTTTTACAGTAAGATTCAGCAAAGATTGAAGCAAGTCCTACAAACCAGTTTTTCTATCTTCATTCCCAAACTTTTCTTAGAATAAATACTTTTCTCCCATTTAAACGTCAAATATTTTTCTTTAAACTTTTCTAAATCGATTTTTTTTACCCTTGTAGTTAGATAAATATAGTTTAGAGGGTTACTTACATTTGTTACCTTATTTAAGAGGTATATTCATTCCTCCATGTTAAATGTTTTAAAATATATCTGCCTATCATGTAGTTCCAGATGAGGGGTCTCCTTAGTTTTAACACAATATCGTCGAATGAACAAGAAGCAGAAGCATTTCGTTGAAGGCATTTCCAAGTAAGCTCTCTAAACATTCTCCTCTTGTTTATTACAAAACACTGAAATCTTTCTCTGAACCCTTTGGTAAAAATAACATGCTTTGATATTGCTTCATGACTCAACAAGTACATGCCCCTAAAGACAACAGGCAAGTTTAGAAGCTTTGTTATGCACATCACATCCTAAAAGAATCTTGTTGCTGAATGTTTCTGATATCTAAACAGCTTTGACTTATAAACTTCGTGGCGTAAGATTATTTATAATCAAGGCCGACATCCTTCAAAAAAGTGAAGCAGGGATGTCACTCAAGGGGTGTTCAGGGATTTGAATTAGTTTGAGTAAACTGACTGCAAAATTAATTTTATTTAAAGCTCATTGGATAAAGGACAGGAACATTTACCTGGATGTCGGAAAAGAAATGGCATCTCTTGTCTAGACATTTTGACAAGAGAAGCAATTAAATTTTTTTTCCTTGCAATGTTACCGGAAATTACATTGAGTTCTGCAATTACTGACTCTATCGCATTTTTTTTAAGCTTAAGACTTTGAAGATGTATTTTCTTTCCTCTTATTTTCTGTGACTAAAATATACTTATCAAAAACATTAACACCACTGGCAATATTGTCACATCGAAAAATAACCCCATCATAAATTCCATTTAGTTTATTTATATAGTTCCAATTGACAACACATGTCAGCTCAAGGCACTTTGCAATTCAGCCAGACATACAGTCAAATTGATTCAAAGTTTTTTATGTAATGAAAACCAGTTGATTGTATCAACTTATTGACTCGAAGGCATTCCCTCACACTAAGTGTGCCTGCAGTGACAGTGGACCAGGCTCAGTGTGATTACATGTAGCCATCTTCCGAGGCCGACTGGGGTTCAAGGGGACAGAAGCAGAGATACAAAAGGTGGCAACGTCCAGGAAGCAGACAGCCAGGCAGACGAGCTCTGAGCCAGCTGCCATTTCAGAGGATAAAAGAGAGCGTATCAAGCCAGTCACAGTCAGAGAAACAGGACTACAATGAAAAACAGGCCGATCTCAAGCATTTATATACAAAAAGGTGTTGATGGCAGCAGCACAGCTGATATTTCTCTCCACAATGGTGTCACAGCCAAACACGAACAGATGAGGTGAAGCTACTATAAGAAAAAGCAGAGAGAGCATAACATTACAGATTGAATTAATAGATTCTGCAGAGTGGGAGAATAGAGATATAATGAAGCAGAATGATGAAAAAAGGGTCCCTATATCTTCCAGCAGTCTAAGCCTATAGCAGCATAACTATAGAGATAGTACTGGATAACCTGAGCCGCTCTAGGTATAAGGTTTATCAAAAAGGAAAGTTTTAAGCCTACCCTTAAAAGTAGACAGGGTGTCTACCTCACAGACTAAAACTGGTAGTTGGTTCCACAGGAGAGGAGCCTAATAACTAAAAGATCTGCCTCCCATTCTACTTTTAGAAATTCTAGGAACCACTAATAAACCTGCAGATTGAGATTGAAGTGCTCGGAAAATAAGGAAATAAGGAAAATAAGGAACAATCAGATTTTCAAAATCTTTTACCCCCTTTAAATCAAAATGGATACATTGATTCACCAAGATGTTTGACACAGCTTGAGTGATGTACAATATTGTACACTAAAATAATTGAATAAATGTTATAAACTGATTGCAAAATCCTCTTTATCTAATAATTCAATGACCAATTGATTTTGTGTTAAAACTTGGTCTCTTTGTGTTCAAAGCTGCCATAACTTACAATAAGTCTGATTAAACTGATTCTAAGTGTGTCAGTCTTAAAACAGAATTCTTCCTATTTGCATCTTTTAGTTAAAGCTGCAAAGTTTGAATAGAATCAAAGCGGCTTTGTTTTCCAAAGAAACACTTGAAACCTATGATGTGTCTTATAATACAAAAGTAACTCCCTTTGTTGGGAAAGACAAATAATTCTGAACTAAAAAGACACCTAAAGGTCTACATAAGGTTGACATAAAACTTTGTGGAAGAATGCATCAATGTAAAAATATTCCTCTTAGCTAGGGGATCCACTTAAAAGAGTAAAGGCCAGAATACTCTGGACATTATTTAGTATCCGATCTGACTA